AGGAAACTTATCAAACAGGATAGAGGGGTAGACAGGGAATAGAGCTTAAGAAAGTGAGAAAGCAGAGGAAAAGAGGAAGCTAGAGTGCAAAGTGGATGAGCATAGGGATGAGAGAGAAAATTATTAAAATAACAGCGTTGAAGCATAACTGCAGTCAAAGCTTGGCTTGGTATCCTTTCTGTCCCCGGGCAATTGGGATTCAGCAGAACAGCTCTCCTCTGTAACAGGATCCACTGTCAGCACATTAACATGCTCATGCGGCAGAGCTCCTTCAGTAAAGTTTTTTTTTAAAAGTAGTCAAGTAAGAGTATGCGAGAGAGCAAAAAAAAAAAAAGATACGTGGGCAGCTGTGGGTGGGCAGCTGGGTGAGTGAATTTATAATGCGTGTAGGAGTATGTGTACAATGTGCATGAACTTTTATGTGTATTCTGCCTTTTATGAGCATGCCTGCCTGTGGTAATCCCTCTGGTCTTCATCCAGCAAACTGAGAAGCCAAAAGCAGAGCATCCCAGAAACAGTGAGACGTGGAAAAGTAAAGTTAAAGTGACTTTAAATCTCTTTTTAATCATCTTGTTAAAGTGGACTGCCTAACAAGGTGCAGAAGTAGAGACCTGAAGAGTTGAATTCAGTCTTTTCAGTCTTTTTAACCATCAGAGCTCCTTTCATTCAAATGTTCATATCAGACAATTGGATAAAACATACTGAGCTGGCTGGATCAAAGGAGCATCACTGAGCTTTAATTGAACACAGAGTAATTATTTTTAATGAGCAGAGCTGAACATCCCACTTCTGACTAGGAGTTTCCTGTCCCAGAGGCATAGGCACATATCAAAACAACAGGACAAAAGCAGGTACACACAGATGAAACAGCAATGCTTTCAGTTTGCAAAAGAAAAACAGTACAAAACTAGCCGAGTTCCTTATTTGATGCTTAGCTTTACGGCAATGTACAAAGTCCAAACAACAGTTGTGAGCAGAACCTAATTACACATCAAATGTAAATTGTGGAATTTTGAATAGTTTGAAATGTTGTGAAAACGTCTGAAGCTCCACCAGTAAAACGATTTGTCTGCTATGATGCTGAAGATCATCTCGCTGTAACTGGTTGTCATTACATATATGTCTACACGGTGGATCTCCGTTTTCTCATCGCCATGGTGACAGTGCAACCTGTGTTAAAAATCTGTCAAGTAAGGCTTTAAAGTGAGTGGAAAATGGTTAAGACTTAGGGTAAGTGTGAGGGTAAGTCTTCTACTTCAGATCGCATTACAGTAGAGGTCCTCACCAGTGTTGGGGTCATTTTTCAAGAAAATGTATGTATTACACATTACTTATTACTTTTTTTTTAAGTAGTGCATTAATTAATTTGTTACACTACTTGTTACACTACTTGCTACATTATTTTCACCTTACTCTATAAAATACTTATACAATCTTTCTTTTACTTTTTACTTATGAACACAAAAGTGAAGGTAAAATAAAAAAGAAAAGACACTTTTGTTGCTTATTGAGTCTGGCTGCTGGGGTGGGGTCAGCATGCACTCAGCTTTAACCTCACTCTGAGTTTTGGCTAGTTTTGTGTTAGCATGCTCTCTGTGCAGATGCTTGCAAAGAGTCTTAGTTATCTTAGCAGTATAAAGCTGTTGCTTCTGTCCTGGATGCAGTTTCTACTTTATCATCCAACTCTTGTCCTTCTGTGAAATAAAAATAAAAGTAATGTCAAGTTTGCCACTTATCAAAAAAGCAGTATCACTGTTCCGCAGGGTAATGCCTTACTTTGTAAGGCTTTAATGCCTGTAACATTTTGTAATGCACTGACAGTTAGACCATAGTGTACAAATTTATGATTCACGACCACACGAATGTCAAAAAACATAATGACCAAGCTTCTGCTGCATTTGACCAAATAGAGTATATTTTTACAAACTAGAGGACCAGCTCTTGTCATCAGCTCTTGACAGCGCCATGTGTATGATTTTTTGTTTGTTTGTTTATTCTCAAATCTTTGTTAATTTTCTAAAAAACATTCTAGGCATCTTATTTGTCCTTTTTTTTAAAAATCCAGATATATGCAAGACTTTGAGTTTTTTTTAGTTTTCCTTGAGTTTTTATTTTGTTATTGAAATGTGTTCATAATCTATAGATACCTTTAGGCACACCCTAGTCCTCATACATTATCCAGGTATCGTGTGTTCGTGCTTTTGTTTAGTTTTGGAGGGTTTTTTTTCTTGTTTTGAGTTTGCTTTTGTTATTCGTTTATCCTTTTAGTGTGTAGCAGCCATCCAATCTAGATAAATAGCCAAAACAAGCCGGAGTGCTGTTTTATCCTGCCCCGAAGCAACCATCTTGGATGCTTTCCAGAAGAAAGAGTGAGTCCTGCTAATGTCATCCCTTATTGCTACCCAAGTAAAATAGATTTTTAGCATGAATCGGTAGCCCAGTTCTAATAACGTCTTATCAGCTGTCACCATTTCACAAAACTCCAGCCTGCTTGGTTGTCCTTTGGCTTAGTTCTAGCAAACATGAGCGTGCTAATCTGACAAACACAATATATCAGCTAACTAGCATATTAGCATTGTTACTGCGCAAATGTTAGCATGCTAACATCAAGCGCTTTTTCACAGCTGTGTATAAAAGTTTCAACATTGCCCTGCACTGGTGTTTCACAGAGCTTTAGACAATTTTATGATCTTTTTTTATGTCATTTATTTCACTGTGGAATGACAGTGTTGGCTCTCCACTGCAGGTAATGTCTGTGCTTTTCTTCCACGGTTCTCCTTTCTTGTTGTTCCTCACTTGTCTGCTGTGGTATTACTTTTAAAGCTCCTGCTATTATGTCAGTATTTACTAACACATTCTCAATGAATCTAGTAAGAAAAGCTCCCAAGTGAAACTTAACCTCACAGTTTTCTTTTACCCCTTTGGGCAGACACTAAAACATTGTGGCTAAAATGCTCCATGGCTATGTAATGTGCCTTTGAAAGCAAGGTTATATTGATTTAGGCATATTTCATGTGAGAAAATCACAATGTGAGGCTTAACCTCCAAAATAATATTTGGGGGTCGCTAGATTTATTTTTAAAAAGGGTCAAAACTGATATTAATACAATACTGAGTCACTTGTAATTTTTGTTTTGAAGCTGCAAAGTTCCTAGTCTGTTCTGTAGGATATGTGTGAAGGTGGCCTCGCCCACACAAGAAAGGAGATAGGGTGGGAGAACACATGGCAGAGGTCAGTTTTAACAGAGATGGGTAGAATGGCCTTCGAGCTGTTTACAGCTCTTGGCTGTCCTATGTGTATCCAAACAGATGACTCTGTTTAGACTGCTAACACCCACAGATGTCTAAGTAGCTGACCTTGACTTGTTTCTACTCTTTGTGAACATTGATTACAAAGGTACAGTATGTACTGCTATGAGGATGTCGTATCTCTTGCCATAAAATGTGTGACTATTGACGTTTCTCTCTATTATTGTAGGGTCTTTATGTTACAATATAAAGCTTATTTTGGGGGGGAGGGGATAGCCAGGTCATTAGCAATAAAATTATATTTTGTTCCAAAACACTTTTGACAACAAATTTGTTTCTCACACTATTGTGAGAATGTCAGCCATTTATTCTGACTATGTCCTCCACCAGCTGGCTTTTTTGTTGTTTTTGTTGTCAAACTTCAAACTTTGAAGATCCCCAGACTTTTTCTCTAGTGCCCCCATGAGGTATGGTCTTAACATGTAATTCTGTTTAGAGATCTACTCCCCATTTAGTCAAAATTATAACTTTAAAGTTGCATTTTTGGTACATTAATTGGTTGATACTATTTAACACATACTAGCAGGAAAAAGGCAGCACGGTGGCACAGTGGTTAGCACTGGACCTGAGTTTGATTCCACCAGCAGTGTCTTTCTGTGTGGAATTTGCATGTTCTCCCTGTGTTTGCGTGGGTTCTCCCCAGGTACTCCGGCTTCCTCCCACAGTCCAAAGACATGCACTTTGTGGGGATAGGTTAATTGAAAACATTTAAAATCGAAATTGCCCATATGTGGATGTGAGTGCGAATGGTTGTCTGTCCCTGTGTGTTAGACTGGTGACCTGTCCAGGGTGTGCCCTGCCTCTTGCCCTATGACAGCTGGGATAGCTGCCATCCTGAAAAGGATAAGCGGAAGCAAATGGATTGATAGCAGGAAAAAGCCCTAAGCATCAGTACGTTGCCATTAGGAACCTAATATTTGCATCAGCATTAACTTTATGTACTTCTGTACCTAAGCACAGCCTCACAGAGACTTTTTAAATTACTGCATTGGCTTTCTTTGAAATTAAGAAAACTCTGAAGTAAAGCTGCAACAGTGGTGCATTAAAAAATTACAACTAGAAGTCTATGAGATTTCATATTTGCAAAAGTGGATTTCTTAAATGCAAAAAACAGAATAATGCAGCATGTCTTTCCCTCAACTCCCTTCTCTCTTTTTGTTGCTTCTCATCTTTTTCCATGTCATTTTTGGTACATATTGTCCCTGAGGTTGCATGCCTGCACTCTTCTCAGCTGTGTACTGTAAGTGAAGGAAAAACCAAAATAGAAGAGAACAAAATACCCCCCCATACCCTGTAGTCTTGTGCTGCAGCCATCATGCAGGAGAGAATACAAGCCACGTCCTGAAAGTCAGGGGAGCCTTCATCCTCCTCCTCCTCATTCTCCTTGCAGACATGGAAGGTCTGTTTCCATGACAACGTGAGAATTAAGGGCGAAAGAGCGCCATCCCAAAATGACATATCGGATTTAGAGGCTAGGTAGAGCATAAATCACTTCTGTGAACGATAGAGGAAACTGATTTGAATTGAATGTGAATCCCATTAAATAAAAAATGACACATTGATCGATTCAGTTTTGTCTGCTTATTATCCTAATTATGTTCCTGTTACAAAGAGTGACATAAGTTTGAAAAAAGATAATTCAGTCATGATCAACAACACATTCAATGAATCAGTCACTGTATAGCTGAGAGTTTTTGATAACATAGTCTTTATTCTTAAACAATCACTAACTTCATTCTGTTTTTTATATAATCAATGCATATTTTTTGTCATCTCAGAATTCATAATGCATATATGAGCATGTTCCAATGCAGTGAATCATCTGCAAACATAAAAATATTAAAATAATAGTTATTATCTCATACAATCAAAGCCTTTATTAACCCCTTTCACACATCAAGAAACCCACAAAAAAGTGCTTTGCTTTACTGCTTTCTCACATTAGCTATTTTTGACTCCATGTATTCATTCCTGTCTCAGATCCTTTCATTCATCTGTCAAGAGTTGACCTTCAGTACACTTAACTTCATGCATTGCTTTAAGTCCACACATGTGTCATATGCACCAGTATAAACCTCTGTATAAAGATACTTGTATGCTGGTCTTGCCTGCTGACTTTCAGTGTCATGTCTAATATACTGTATGTATCACTGTTATTCAGTAGGTACTGTGGAAGTTGAACTAATCTACTGTTAGCTCTTACAGGTAACTTGCATCAGCTGCGGACCCGGGTCCAAGATGGAAGACTTTCCTAGATCCATAATGATGCCTATGCCACTGTAGTTTGCTGCGTGCAGCTGAATGTGTGCTATTTACTGTACATATCACCAAATTAGCAACCGGTTTCTAACCAGATGTAGGAGAGATGTATGAGCTCTCGCTAAAATACTGATCAAACTATTGCATAAAACATTTTGGACATATGCTCCCAAAAATCTAAAGACATTCCTCTTGGATCCCGCCTCAAACTTAAACCAAACTTACATCAACTTCTACAGTCATGCGATGGTCATGCTTGATCTCAACCGTTTCCCCTTTTCAGCTTTCCTAACTTGGCTAGGCTTAGCTGTACGTCATCTTTAATAATAGTAAAAAAGAAATAACACTATTAACCCCAATCCAAACACCACATTGGTGCCAGTCTTTGTGCAACTAGTGCTGGACAGTGGACATCCAGCCTCTACGTCTGGCCCATTCACTGCACAACTGTAGGACTTCCTGAGTTAGACAAACTAATTGGGGTTTAGAAATAAGCTCAGCAGCGTACACAGCGTATGTGGTGTCCCAGTCAACTCAACTCGTTTATACAGCCCTGTCAATCTGTTGATTTATGAAAGAGAGAGACTTTCCTCCACAATGCAGCAAGTGGCTCATTTCATTGGTCACAAAACCAGTGGGAATAGAGATGGCATGCGTTACCATTTCAGAAAATCCCACTGAGACGGTAAGACATCCTCCTCGAATCTGGCCAAATCCATATGTACTGGTTCCTCAATGAAACATTTGGCTTCCATTGTGATGGCAAAGTTTGAATGATTGTGACCTTACAATTTTTGAACAAATTTTCAACATGTTAGGTCAGTGATTTATTAAACAGTCAGGCACCCTGTCCACCAGTGTTGAAAAAGTCTCTGGTCATTTCACAACAGAATAATAGAAATAGTAGAACTTTCTGGAAATTAGTCAACGCAACCCTTCACGGCCGGGCTTGCCAAAAAAATTGCCACTTCTTTTCTTTCTGCGTAGAAAAACTGCAGAAGTCTTTAATCAAAGGTTATTTCATGTTTAGTCCGTATAGTTCAAAAGCACGACTACTGTTACATAGTTATATTTTGAGTTGTTGTTATAGCTAACAGCAGAAAAAGGGGTCTGTGGTTCTCGAGGTGCAAATGCGTAGTGACCGTTTTTGGCCATGGCTCGTAGTGCTGATGTTGGTCATTGCCATCCTCTCAGCTTTTGGAGAGAATATTATTCTTTGTCATTTTTGACAAGTTTGGACATCTCTTTGTTTATAACCTAATGCTCATTTTAAGTGATGAGATAATACAGAAACTGTATCAAAACAGGTTTTCACTCGTTTCCAACTTTTAATGCCTCATACAACTTTCTTTGTCTTTTCTACTGACAAACACACCAACCGTGGAGATGTATTGTCAGTGTTTTATTGTTTTTGTTTTTTTTTTCATTTAGAGACATACTAGACTGCACTCTGTTATATTGCTTGTATCGGTCCCAGGGCAACATATGGAAGTTTGTGTCCTATAGTCACATTAGTCTAACTTACAATACACACCTGAGTAAATTACATCCCACCCTAAGCACTCTGTTCCCATTGAAGTCCAGCAAAGAGAACTATCAATATATTTAGTCTTACCCTCACACCAGTGCAAGTGGTGTGACAGTGCATTCAAGATCAAACTGTGAGAGAAAAAAAACACATAAGGGTAATAAAAAAAAGTATTTTGTCTCAAAAACAAAAAGCTAGTAAATAAGATGATCGAGCAACAGACTAGTAATAATGATTATAATGAAGATGGTATAGTTATTATTGAAAACAACACAATAAAGCATATGAGAATGCAATAGCATGTAGAAAAAAATCAATGTACGAAAAGTGAACATGTATTAAAGCTTGTTTTTCACAGCATAAATCGAAAATGACAGATACTTGTATTTACGTGAAGGGAGACCACCATTTCTTTGTTTATCACAGCTTTTTTATACTTTTTTGCATAAAATGGTTGGTCAAGTCCTGATTGAAAATGACTTCTCCATATATATATATATATATATATATAGTCTTTTTCATATTAATTCATCTAAAAGGTTTTCACAGGCAAGACATCAGTTTTTGTTTTCGTTGTCTTGGGTGTACAGTAATAGCTCCTCGTTGTCATCATAAACCCCTCTGTTTGTCACGGGCCATGGTGGTGCGTACATTGGGAGGGACGGGTGAAGTTTCCTTTGGCCCCTTCCCTTCATTCAGGATGAGGCCTCTCCCCCCTGCTGGAAGCCCCTCCCTCAGATGCTATGTGGAGTCCTGATTGACAGCTTTCCCTCCATTCATGGTGGGAGTCCCTGAGCTCTTCCTGGAGCGGTGCTTGTCCTCTATCTCATGCAGTGATGGCTCCCTGTACATACAAACTGTGGAAAAGATGGAAAGCCAAGGAAAGGGATGGAAACAAGAGGAGCGGAGTGGAGAGTAGATTGAAGAGATGGATGTGCAGACAGAGACAAGGTCAGGTGTGAGGCTGGGACAATTATACCAGGCTGAGAGGGAGAAGACAGGGGAATTAGGCCATGTCTGCACTTTTTTATCACATTGCTTGACAAGTTATTACAACAATATCTATGTGATATTTTAACAAAGCTCCCACAAAAGATATGTAAACTACTGGGGCACTGAAAGTGAATCACTTGCCAAGTCCAAAGTCCTGCTTCACACTTGTGAGAAACTGTGCCTGAATGTGCAACAAAATTTTAAGGATTCCCCCTTTGCCCGTACACTGCTCTACTAAGCTTCATCGAAAATGAGATAGTTAATCTTGCTGACAAATAACAAAGCAAGAGCAAAATAAATGCTCAAAATGATAAATCCCTTTAGAAGCCAGGTTTGGAGAATGGGAATGCAATGCAAATGATTTCATTTTGCTCCCTCATAAAGCTTGAAGAATACCAAGGATTGTTTGAGCTAAAACAGCGAATGTCAATATCATTTACCTTTAGGTGTGTCAAAAGGATTTGCTAAGTTTAAAAAAAGAACATTGATTTTTTTCATTTCCCATGATGCACCTATACTATGTTTCATTAGTTTCTCCCTCCTCCTTAATGCCAACGTATTAACAAACCGAACAGTTCCAGCTGGTAATGAAGGTCCTCCAAAGCCAGATAAGACATTATCTGGTTTCAAAGGCTAATTAGAGCTGGTGGATCGCTGCTTTAACCACCAGTGTTGCACGATAATACTAGTGTACGTGATGGGAAGTGCATGCATTACAAAAAAAAAATGAAATCAAAAAGAAATAACATTAAAGCTGTACCAAAAATGTGCTTCTACAAGCTTTATGATACCTTCAATTGGCCTGGGAACAAAGTGCGATGAGGGCTTAGTCTTCTTGACCCGGTTGCCCTTCATTACTTGTCCCTCCTTGGTGAGACCAAGGAACCAGGCCCGACCTGACTCCTGCTGTCGGTACACAGTGGACGAGTAGATCACATAGTAGTTCTCAAAAACTGACTCCTTGAACTTACACTCTGGGGTGAACACCTCCTGCAAAAAGATTGAGTGAAGGAAGGTAAAAATGTTATAGATATTTGTCAGTGCAAACAGAAAATACATTTTCACCCACATGAAAGCTGAAAGCAGCAAAATAAAAAAAGAACTCATGACCAGTATGTGAAAGTTGCCAAGGTCGGTAAACATCCAGTAAACACACACACACACACACACACACACACACACACACACACACACACACACACACACACACACACACACACACACACACAGGAGACTAATGAGAACGATAGTCTTATTAGAATAATGTGACAATGGAAGATTTCTATCTCTTGGTTTCATTATCAAAGTAAGTCAAGGAGAGAGGCAAGGGGACTCACAGTAATGACTGGAAAACTGGAAAGAACCAGATACTGGATACACTGCCATGCCTGAGTGCGATGCCAGATTATTGCCATGACAGTGCAAGACAGGAAACAATGCTCTTGACTTTGTAACCCATTCCAGATGTACAGTAAAGATGCACAGTCATTTGTCACCTTTGGCAATCGTGTTAGAAAGGCTGGAAAATGCACAAATTTGCTTTTTCTGCACAAAATCTTTACTTATCACCACACATGTGCTGATTAATGTGTGCTGACAAGGAGGCTGCCAACCCCTCAGTCCTTGTCCCTGTTCACAACAATGTCCTCTTCGAGACTAAATTAAAATCTAATGCCAGTCAATTTGAAGGGCAGGGAAGTCGTGTGTGTGCCAAAAAAAAAAAAAAATGCAGGCAGAACAGCTGGTTTGGTAGATGTTGGGCCATCTCAGATCTCAGCTAAGCCAGACTTTGTACTATTGGTGTGTTTTTGTGTCACTGCTATATTTCATTTATTAATGTCTCCTGCAAGGTTCTGTGCCCTTTTAAGGTTGTCTGTTTGAGTGACAGCCCAATTCTGCTCCCTGCTGGAGGTGACAGTGTATGTGTAGTCCAGGTATTACTCATGTAGAGGGGACCTAAATCTGTTTATACCATCACGTTATAGGGACGTGTCTTCCTTGTGGGGACAAAAAGAAAGTCCCCATAACATAAATCAATGCATTTTATGGTTAGTGACATGCTTTAAGGTTAGGATAAGGGTAAGGCTTTGACAAACAGCGGTTATACTTAAACTCTACGTCTTCGGGAGATTAATGCATGTGTAAATGTCCTTTATGAAGTAATTGATACAAATCAGGAATAATTTAAAGCTGTTTCTGACCACATGTTTAATGTAAGTTTTATAGGTGCTTTACTTTTTAGTTCTGTTTTGCTTTACCAGCTCCCAAGGAAAGCATCTGGCATCTTTACTGTGCAGTCCAAACTGTGTTTATCAGCTAGTTGTTAACGTCATCTGGGTATCTTTTCAGCAGGTGGTATGGATTTAAAGAGTGCTAAAAATCTGTGTAGAGCTTTGTTGGTTAGTTGTTTTAAGCAGCACCTGTATATTACACACAGTCATTTGGCTGATTGTTCATGCAAAAAATAAATAAATAAATAAATAAATAAATAAAAAAAATCTGTAGCTTTAAATTAGTTTATGTCATATTCAGTACAGCTTAAAGAGTGTGTGTGTGTGTGTGTGTGTGTGTGTGTGTGTGTGTGTGTGTGTGTGTGTGTGTGTGTGGTCTCTTTTTGGATGGCACGCCGCAGTTGAGAGTAATGAGTCCCAGTGTGTATGACCTCAGTGCATTGCAGGCTGAGTAAGGGACTGAGGGAAAGTGGAGGTCACATGGTCGACAGTGTGGAAACGTCTCACTGGTCAGCAGGAGAGAGGACAAGCTCTGGCGGCGGAGTGTATCTGAATGCCTGCTGAAACGCTGTCAAACGGCAAAGATCTGGCTCGCTGTCAGGGCACTGGGGTCACGTTGTGCCTGTCTGGCTCTGTGTGTGTTTATGTGTGAATGTATGTGTTTGAGTGGGTGGGGGGCAGACAGTGATACATTACACAGCAGAAGGCTTCATCGCTACTTCATCTGTTTGGTGCTCAAATTAGGCCAAGAGCACACACACACACACACACACCCACATACATACGCACCCAAGTACTAACCTACCATTCACCATTAGCCACTTGCTTTGCTGACACACTATAAAATTCCCTCCACATTCTCCACGGCAACAATGCCCTGTGCTGTCCATGAAAAGCTGGAGCGGTTTAGAAAGCACCCTGGATGCAGTTTGGGAATGACTGGGGTGAAATGTAAGTGACTTTGAAGTCTCTAACAGAGAACCTTGTTCACGGATGACTGAGTAGAAATGCGAGGTGAAGAGATGGGGTCAGACTCTATTGTGATTAATGAGATTTTATTAATGGACATAAACCACAGAACCGCAGGGACAAAGAAAAAGCACAAAAATACACATCAACACACATTCTCAATGCCCCAAATATATGGACAACAAGTTTGCCCTGTCACTTCCTCTGCCAGGAGCTCATAATTAATTGAAGTTGTTACTGCACTGAAACAAGTTTTTAAAAAAGAGCTAACAGGCTCTGCAAGCTAATATTACAGTAATTGAAAGGATGCTTATTTATATTCCATAGCAATCTCATGGGCAAAACCAGAAGACTTGTTAGCAAAACTGGACATGTGCTTACACTGCACCTTTAGGGGTCTCAGTTTGGACCTACGGATTGATAAAAAAAAAGCTTCACCTGAGACGCTGTGAATAAACACAGCAAAACTGCTAACTGAATGCAAATATTTTGGCTGTTTCTGCATATTTTCACAACATTTTTTTTCTTTTTTAATATAAAAGCTTATCATCTGTTTTGACAGAAACAAACATCAAACTGATTTTTGAAAGGACAATAACGCACCAATACCCTTTTGAGTTTGCAATTCCTGCTTTGCACAAGGTATAAATGTAGCACTACAGCATTGAATTACCACTCATTTCGTTATATTTTGCTTCCAAGGAGCCAGACTTCCTAGCAACTTTTTTAAAGCAGTCTTGAACAATGAGTGTCATGTCCTTAAGAAATTGGGGAAAAATCCATGAAAGACCTGACACAGGAATTGAGATGCATCTGGCCTGTCAGTTGATCCATCTACTGTTTGTCAAAGTCTCATCAGAGGTGGTCTCGATGGAAAGGTGGCTGTCAAGAAGCTTCTCACAAAAAACAGTAACAAAAGGCTAAGGTATACCAAATCGGCATCAATATGCATGGAGAAGGTCAAAAGAGAAGTACACCAGTGAGTGTCTACAGCCAATCTGTGATCTGTGGTTTTGGGTGGTGCTTGTTAAAATTGGTGGAATTATAAACACAGAAAAGAACTGTCAAATTTTGACCGACAATGCAACACCATCTGAAAAGAATCTGATTGGAAACTGCTTTAGTTTTAAACAATGATTCCAAACACACTGCCAATACAGTAAAAATGAATAGAAGGAGGCCCGGAAGCTGGACTTCAACATTCTTGAAGCAATGTGGGATCACCTTGACAGAGAATTGAGCAAAAGACAGCCAACAACCTTTGAAAAATCTTTAAATGTGCGCTTGTGTGTTACCTCAAAATAACTAAATTGTGACCTTCTTATAGAAAATCATAGAAAAATAAAGAAATAAAAACCCCTCTATCGCTGAAGTCTTCAAAAACTCCACAGAGAACTTTAAAGACCAATGCTGCTATTTTCACATCATCCTTGATTTTTTGGACATGATAGTGTTACTCACATCATGTTTATCTAGATTTCGGGTTATCTTAACTTTAATACCAGCTGCAAAACCAGCAAAACAACCTCCTACCCATCACCACCTCTGGTGGTTCTGCACCTCTGTCCAGATAAGTGTGAGGTAACGTGTGTGTTTGGGGCTTATGAAAGATGTGAGTGCCAATGTATGGAATGTAAAATGAAACTCGAAGAATGAGAACAAGATGTAATGGATTGCCAAACTGGGTTGCCAAAAGAACTGAGCTGAATGCATCCTGAATCTAAATCAGCTGCTGGCTCCATCACAGGAGGGAGGCAACTCTCTGGCTCTGCTTTGAGGAGCAGCTGCCGACAGACATCTTTTGAATTTGGATAAAGATGTGGAGGATACGGCGAGGACCTCAATTTAAACATGGGCTTGAGACACTGGTGTATCTGAGAGATCTGGGCCCTGTGACAATCCCAGCGCTGCCATGGAACTCCCGGGGAGCTTATTATTATTCTTGGAGAGATTTAGGTCTGGGATCGTCTAGACGTTACTTAAACTGAAAACTCTCTTTCTCACTTTTTTCTAATTTTCCCTCCCTCCATGCTTATCTTCTTTTCCTCTGTCTGACTCTGGAGTCAGTCACTTTGAAGCAAGGTGTTATTTTTTGTCTTTTCTCAATTTTCTCCACAGATGATGTGTTTGATTGTCTGCAATTAAATCGCACCTACTTTTTTTACCTTTGGGGGGAAGGGGGGGGGGGGAGGTGGCTGTACATGGCATTAGCATAGATTCAACACCATGAGCAGCTACATTGTTTGCACACACAGAAGCACCAGTTTAGCTCATAAAGTAATCAAGTAGAATGACAAACTACCAAACCTTCATCAATTTTCTATTGAGCCATTTATCTAAAAACAAAACAGTGTGCGATTTACAATTTTTTTGCAACATAAATTAACATATTTAGATAGATAGATACTGTAGACGGTAGCAGTGGTTACTGTTGTGCAGCAAAGTAGGTCATATTGAGTGTTATAAATAATGGAAGGGAACTCTTCATTGTAGATGTTCAGCCCCCACGCACTTTATCACTAAACACTCCACATAAGCACCATCACCCAGCTCACCCTCAGCTACATCAGCTTCCAATCCTCATCAGCAAGCTCTGCAAGCAAGAAAAACCAGGCAGCATATATGTAACGACTTAACTGATCAGCAGTGATAGTACTAAAAACAATGATACCTGACACCCAGATAAAAGACTGACAGAAAAGGTCCTCAAGGGTGCAGTGCAATTTCTCAGAAGCATCTCAAACAACAACAGAAGAAAGGGTTGTCGCGTTCTCTCACTAACAAGACAGCGCAAAGAAGCAGGAAGGAAAAAAGTAAAAGGGAGGCAATGTTAGAGAAGTAGGAGGATATCCCTCAGTAATTATCTCCCAAGTGGGGGGCACGGGAGAGAGCTATGTGTCTCTGCTCTCAGATGTAAGGAAGGCAAAACAAGACGACAAAACAAGCAGTGACAAACTTTATAGTTGGTGGAGTCAAAATAGTAAAATGGAAGGCTCATCTTAGAGAGGACAGGAGGACGAGAGCAAGAGTGAATAAGCGAGGATGGCTCGGAAAAACAATGAAGACCCAGACAAATAATAATAAAAGTAAATGTGACTAAGAATGAGGAATGAATGAAGGACTTACTTTATGGCCGTGGTTGCACCAAGAAAGCTCTCATAAATGCATGAATAAAGAACAGAAATGCTCCCCATAATGCCATTCCTGCAACGCTTTATTATTTATCCGCATACATAACCTGTACTGGTAAACAACAGAGGCTATATTTGCTTTTACGTAGTTTGCATGTTAATTTAATCTTTTTATGAGCCCCTCCAAGGCTTATAGGCTTATAGGCATTGGTAAGGAAATAACCAATGCTAATCGTCCATGCTTCACATCTGAGGAACCGGACCCCTTCCACATGGCTAGAAAATTCATTTAGTTTGTGGCTTTGATTAAAACGGTCCTTCGACTGCTACAGCAGAAACATCCTAACCTCTAATTAAAAATTACTCTAGCTGTTTTAGAAGGCTCAAAGAGTTGATCCTGCATCCGAAAAAAATGTGGATAAAATGATGATAAGTAAAGACAAATGTTTGTTACACCAAAAGCTGCCTCTTGACACTGAAGTACTAAATGGTTTGTAATTAATAATAATAAAGTACTCTGACACAAATGATGATTTTATAAAGAGCGGGTTTGTGTGGGGGTCATTCAGCATCCCCAACTTGAGTCAATTTGATAAATTAAAAGATTGCTGTCTGGGCAGGATTAAACTTTAATTAGACATAGATAGGTGGGAGGAGAATTATTATAAGCTTCACAGTAGGACTGAGAGATGTGCACTTGTTTATGAGCCTTTGGTTATGAATGAATCTGTCTACTGGGTGAGTCATAAAACCATGCGCATTTACTGTATGTCCTTCTCTGAACTTGTGAGTGCCTCATACATCTGTCTAGGCACTGAGTTGTGTTCAAGTTTTACTGAGTAAAAACTGCTTGTCATTCTGAAATAACGATGGTAAATTGAGCTAATTTTTCAGTTATTCAAGAGCACATTTAAAAAAAACAAACAACCAAAAGAAAGACATCGCGTCCACCATTCATCTTCTCAACTCAAACTTTTCCCCTTGTCACCCTAACAGTAAAGCGGCGCCCTTATCAATAAATGTAAGCTGCAAGTTAGCAGACACAGGCTTCACTGTGTCCTTCAAGTATTTTATGAGTATTTTAAGAGAGAAAAAGTTTGATGGGCAGTCTGTGAATTCCAGCTCTCGCCAGTCATTTATCATGGCTGTCTGGCAATCACACAGCAATCACCAAGTCCCTCAGCAGAGGTTTGGGAGTGATGCAGCCCTCCCATCGGCTTCTTTCTTCAGTAGCACTATCCTCTGCTAAGACTAGAGGTTATATAACCATCCCAACTGGGATATGTATTGCAGTTCTTTCTTGCTGTCTTACAAACACTCTCCCTCTGCAGCTCATTTTCCTAAGACATGCATGTCTTGATCTTCAATGCAGCAGCCACATCTTTTGGCTGGAGACCCCCCAACTCCCAGTGCATATATTCTACACATTTACGTTTGTAACGTTTATATGGGCAGAAATCTGTGCCATCAGAAACTGAATTTGAATAAGTTCAATTTGAATTTGAATTGCTCAGATTGAATCTGAATTGTAACTTGAATAAATGCTTTTGAAAACTGAATTTGAATTAGTCTAATTTGAAAATGAATTGATTTGCTTTGAAACTGCATTTTATCCTTTAAAAATTCAGCTCTCGAATAATTTCAGTTTCACTTCTCACCATTCGGTTTCAGTTCAAGCATACAGAGGGGGTACTCTGAGAGGGTGCAAGATGACAACTTTGGAATTCTACTAGAAACAGTCGATCATATTTGTTTGTCAAAGCTGAATTCAGGGCAAACTACGCTAAATTACCGTTTTTAGCTAACAGCTACAATAAGCATAACAGTTACTGTACGGCTATCTTTTGTTAACATGACGCTTGTTCTTATACATGTTATACATTTATTACCAACCTGAGAGTTTATCCGCTGGTCATTCGACATGACGAATGACTTCTGAAGTCTTAATTCAGCTCAAGACGCTGTAGATTCCTGTCAGTAACACTTTCGGTCCGCAGTAAAACGTAGTTCTATTAATCTGCACTTGAACCGGAACCGGATGTAAGTTCCAAAAAACTGAATTTTGGAACTGAAATTGAATTGTAGAACTGAAACCGAATGGTGAGAAGTGAAACTGAAATTATTCGAGAGCTGAATTTTTAAAGGATAAAATGCAGTTTCAAAGCAAATCAATTCATTTTCAAAATATAAAATTCAATTTCAATTTAGTGATGATCATTTTCAAACCATAAATTCAATTTCAAATTAGACTAATTCAAATTCAGTTTTCAAAAGCATTTATTCAAGTTACAATTCAGATTCAATCTGAGCAATTCAAATTCAAATTGAACTTATTCAAATTCAGTTTCTGATGGCACAGATTTCTGCCCATACGTTTACCCCAGAGTCTTTCTGTTAATATGTTAAGATTACGCTACACTTTTTTTCTCATACAAAACAAACTGAGAGCACTTCACTGAGCACTGAACTTAATATCAAATTAAATGCAAAGCATGTGAGGTGCAACAAAGGATGGGGAGGGGTTGGGAGAGATAAGTGCTGCACAGCAACACAAAGGCACATCTGAAGAGCTCTTAAATTTAGCAGAGATGAAAGGGATTGGCAGGGCTGAGTCTTTGCAGCAATGGGATATTAAAACAGACAACAAACAGAACAAAACACAACACGTGTTAATGAAGAAATACGCATGCTGGCACTGCTCAAACATGCGCGACATGGCGGCGTGACTGGAGCGAGGAGTCGCGTCTTACCGAGCTGTAGAGCATGCCCTCGCCATTCATGGCAATGTAAAAGCCACTCTTCACCCCCTGGATGGCCACCACTCTCAGACCCACGGGAATAAGATTAAACAGGGCTGCAGAGCAGACAGAGTGGAGGAGAAACAGTTACAAAGAGGCAGAGACGAAAGAGCGACATCAGACACAAAGGACAGAATAGGACAATTGAGTTTTCACTTAACTCTTGTAGACACAACACCCTCTGATCTCTGTTCTTTGGCTGTCTGTCAGCGGTAAAGTGAACAGTGCAGGACATAGACAAAGGGAACTCTGATGCACAGTGACGCATAACAGCAGGAATCCAAAACTTTTTTAATGACATCTAGCTGAGGTAACTGCACAAAGAATCACAAAGCATCCTATGATTCTTTGTACATCTAGTTGAATTCAAGTCTCCTGGATGGCTTAGATTTTGCAAAATGAAAGCAACTATTTATGCACACATATGTGACTCTGTTTGCAGCAGCTCCAATATGAGAAATTGTAACTGGCACTGCCAGTCAGAAAGGAATTGATAAGCTGCCATACCGGTAGAAATGAGGCTTACTATGAGTGCAGCTAGTATGTCCAGGCACAAATGTTCAGGTTTTAAGTCATCAGTGTTCATTTTGGTCATATTCCACTGCAATCTGAAAACCTGCTTCTGACTCAGTGATTACTGAATGCTGATCCGTACCTGAAAGTATGCAGCATAATCTTTAAAGCAGTGAGACGAGCGTCGATAAAACAGCGTAGACATAGATCTGTGATAGCAAACAACCGAAATTGTGTTTTGATTTAAGACCCCATCAATCACAAAACTGCTGCAGGCAAATGCTACTGAATCTCCTGAGCGGACTGAACCATCAAGGGCGTTGGTTTGGTGAGGGCATGCTTTGCGTACTGTGAACTCCCCGTGATGTTGGAGTGATTGTTCTGCAAGTGTCAATGGGGACTACCAGAAAAGGCTGGCAGGGGGGAAAAAAGGCATCGGGCCAACACAGGTCTGTCCTCTGAACAGATTCAATTTCACTCAATAAATATCGACGTGCTGCCAATGGTTTAAACCTGACCTCGGGGCCAGTGGTGCGCGTGATACCTGCTGGCCGCTATGCAGGGACATATACCCTTGAGGCCAGACAGAATGGGTACTTCAGCCCCTTCAGTTTGATTTTCAAAGACTTCTCAGCTATTTTTCCATCTGTTCCCTGCTTCTTATTCTGTCATTTCTTTACCTCCTCTGTATGCTCCCTCACTCCTCTTTCCATTAGCCTTTCATGGCTGCTGCGTTTGTCTCGTCGATGTCTGGCAGTGTCTGTCAGAGGCACCATCAACAGTTCGGCCTTGCTTGAATAGTGGGAGGAAAAGAGACATAAAATATGGCCCACTACTACACTATTATGTTATAATTACGATCCACAATCCCTGCTCTCATTTGCCTGCCAAAAAATTTGAGAGCTGACAGAAGCTGTCATTCAGTTATCATCTAAATGCCAGCACCAGCATTTGATTGATTCCATAACTACCTGATGACTATTCTCACGCTGATTCCTCCTCCTTAATCACCTCAATCCTATCTCTCACTGAAAAAAGAGAGGCCGGGCTGGCGCTGGAAGAGTTAAGCGATTCTCCAGGGATCTGTTATCGTCAAAGGGCCAGACAAAATAGGTTCAAACAACTCAATAAAGGAAAATCCTCAAAATGCCAAGTCTTCCAGAAGAGCAGTAATGGACTACAAGAAATCCTGCAGCGGCTAGACTCAGGCAAGTGAATTTCATGTGAGGAATACTAGCACAGCAGGAAATAAACACTGCAGGAAAAGTTTCAGAAAGAAACTTAGCCAAATTTCAAATGCCAAGGGCATATCTCCAAATCCAGAGAGAAATCCAGGTATACACTGTCACATTTGCAATTATATAGAGCTTATTTTTTTCCTCCACACTCCAGCTGGAAACTGAAAGCACTTGAAATTAGCGTATGGGTCTTCAGGTAATAAGGAAGTCTATCCTCATTCCATCCATCAAACCCGGAGCATCAGAGATAGATGAAGCGTGACTGCCTGAAACCGCAGGTGTCTCATAACCAGCAGTATCTTTCTAGAACTTCAGAGTGTGCAGATAATTACTGTAGGCGATCAACTGATGACAATCAAATTAATAACTGTTCAAATTTGAACATGGATGGTAATTAATGGAACGGTGTTCCTAAGCCCTCGCTGTTAGTTAAGCGTACAGCTTCCAGCCAGTCATGCTTACCACTAAAGCAATTTTCCATACTTGTAACTGTATATTGAGCCTGAAGGCAGCAACTTTGTGACTCAGTCGAGCACTTTGCACAATTTGCCAAACCCATAATAAAATCGAGCTATTTAAAAATGAGAGAGGCATGATTAAAGAAGAAATTCCATTATTTTCTCATTTTTCATCATCATTTTCCTCCTTTTTGTCACTAAAACTGTTTCCTGTTCAGCGGTGTCCTTGTTTCACCGCTTCCCGTTCCGCACTGAAATGAAGCAATTGATAAAAATGAAAATGGAAACCAAGTGCACTCTGGGTACAGGTCACTGCTATTATTCAGGCGCCATCATGCTCCTCACTACCATCGGTTCCACTGAAGCACCCCCTGAAAATAAATTGCTGTATTCTATCAGCTAAAGCTGTGGATGAGGTGGGTCAGAGGATGTCGTAGTTGAAGGGTGGAGGATAATCTATTATTCTAATAATCCAGCTAAGAGATCAATGGCTCAGTGCAAGACCTGAATACAAAATCTCCTTTCTCTTTTTCTGACAGCGATTATTCTTCCCCTTTCTCTTCCTCTTACTGTCTCCATCTTCTCCTCTATTCTACACTTTGAATTCCTCTAGTGGCACCTCCTGCTCGCCTGTTCCCTCTGTGTGTCTTACTTTAGACAGTCTGTATGCTTGAGGCATCTAATATAGAGAATTATTCATTGGGTACAAACGGAGAAGGTGGTATTTTTAGTTTGCTGTGGCTGAATTATTCACTGCATTCTTCCATCTCTGGGCCAGGGGGACTGCTTAACTAGAGGATTACCTAAAGGTGGGGAAATCCTCACATGCAGCTAAACCCTCAACCAGCTAAAACCTTTTAGACAGAATGGAAACCTTCAAAAGAAACAACAAAAAAAACCAGCTGTTTGCTCAAGCTAAACACATGAAATGCATTATATGTGAATGTTTCTCACTTTCCTTCCCATCCCCCTTATGCAGTAATCCGTTTTGTCCTGAAGACCCTCACTTTATGCCCTAAGTGGTTCTCATTAAAGATCTATCTCCTCTTAAAATATACAGCAACAACAATGGAGGAGTGAAGCATTCATTTCAGCACATAACTGCCCTGGTCCAGCAGCTGTGGCTGCGGTTTTCTGTAAGTAAGGCAGGAGAAGAAGAAGAAAAGTCATGGTTGGTTTCCTGTATTGGCCTCACTCCAGACTGGGAGTGTCATCATTATAGCTTTGACGGTTGTTCCCCCCTGACATATGTGCTGTCTATTCCTTGATCCTTTATAGGAAACTCTTAACAAAAAGCTACAAGTTTTAATATAAGAGACTCTCTACAGACACGGCTGATTTTGCACTCCTTTCTGTTCTTGTGGAGGTGGATGGGGTATACCCCAGAGACTATTTATTCACTGGTAGTTCACTATGGAAAGTCGATTGCAGTGAAATATTGCAGGGGAGGTTCTTGTGGCATGGAGTGAAGCTATGGGCCTACAACCACTTCTAGCAATGGCTTTTTCCAGGCAGGAAATTTTGATGTGATGGTCACACGTGCTTTGGAGCCATATCAATCAAAACAATGTGACACTTTCAATCATGAAGTGTACACAGTAGAAATGGTTTACCTAGTAGGGACCTGGTGGGGATACCAGAATTGTTTTTACTATAGCAAATTAATTATAGTTACCAGATAAATATGATATTTAGAGACTACGTCATTTTTGAGAAAACAGGCTTGGAGTACATAAAACATTTGAGCAGATTTTGGCACATTTATGTGCATATTATTACATAATCATATGCAGAAAAGAGAGCATTTGGCTCTGGGGTATTTCTTGCCTTTAAAATCTGTTTTTTAATCAAGATAATCCAATTTAGCGAGGGTGTCATAAATTAATTTTAGAGTGCTTTAGGTCACCCAAATAGCACGAGTTATATAAGAATTAAAAATGCTAAAGCGTATAAAGGCAGCAATCTATTATATAACCGACTCGTGGCCATTAAATGTTTTACGCTGGAAGCTGTGGCTTCCAAAATGCTCCACTCACTGTTGTCGCTGTTCTCGTCCTTGCTGCCGTCGATGGTTCCATCCGGCTGCATCTGCAGGTAGAAGCCCTGCTGGCTGAACAGTCGTGTCACGATGCCTTTCAGCTGTGGCTCTGGAACGTGCACACACACACACACGTAACACGCACGCACACACACACACACACCCGTCGGCCCCAGCCCCGTCCCCACCAAGAATATGTCAGAACAACAGTCTCATAATGGTGAGAAAAAAGCACAATTTAGCTGACACCTCTGCTTTCAGCTAACACTCAGAAAAAAAATCATCCAAAAGAAGTGTTTCACGATCATAAAATGTAGTGCATGATTAATTAAAAGCTGGCTGTGGAGGATGGAGCGTATCAGCAGAACAATTATAGACTTACTCTACTTAAAAACATTTACAGTTCCTTTCTTTTGTCGTATTTAAAGTCTCTAAAAGGTTAACGATGGTTCACTGTTCACTTTATGACTTGTGTATCTATTCAATTGTAATAAGCCATTTTAAAGGAACTCTTATTATTCCTGTGGCACAATCCAGCTTCCACAATTGCCCACAAAAAGCACTACACATTTAACAATTTCAATAATATATATATTGCATCACTAATATCAATAACACTATAAAGGACAATTTGCTGTGAATCACCTGATGCAGCACATGAGCCCATAAAAGGTTAAGTAGCTGTTTGACAGGAAAACCTTTACAAGGACAACACGTTAACAGAAAACCAATAATAATATTGTTACGTTCCCACAGTGGTTTACCTTTCAACAGCCTTTTAAAATCACATTTAATGCACACTGACATGCCAGTACTTTCTTTGGTATGAAGCAACCATGCATTTTAGAAATAATATGACTGACATTTTTTATGAAATCAATCTTTTGAACAGGCATGTTTCTATGCTGCGCTCCAAATGATTTCCTTGTTATTTATTTCCTGAAAGGAAACAGAAAGGAAGTTCTGGAGGAGGTTTCATTTTATTTAATTTTTTTGTTTCCCAGTAAGATAACCCTGTTTCGACCTCCAACTTTGGAGGGTATGACTTCTGGCGCGTGGCCAAAGTGCTGCTCAAAATGCTCCTCTCTTCAGGTGGAGCAGGTGGAAGCGAGGATTAGCTGAGGGCAAAAAAAAGCCTCTCAGCTTCAGGCAATGCTGAGTAAAAGCTGATGTGTGGAAAGCAGTTTTTATCTGAGAAAAAAAACATGCTTCTCTTGTTTGATTTTGTGCAAAAGCAGGAAGTCCAAGTCAGATGACATCATTATATCCTGATGATTAAGAATAAAATAAAACTATTTTTAAAGCAGGTAAAATAAAAGATATGATCATGCAATGAGTATATATATAGTCATGGTTTTCTTGAGGCTCATCGTGAGTAATACTACTCTACAGCGGCACAGTAATGCGCTGTTTTGTGTAAAGTCTGGGAAAAACAAATAGATACTAAAGATGACTAATCCTCAGTTCAGTCTGTCTCACAAAAGGAACAAATTATGCGTTTTGTCACAATTTAATTGGCACTTAGTTTCTCCTTGTGCACCTAAATAAACATTCATTTAATGAAATCCTTGCTTTGCAGGCACAAACATTCTGATAAATAGTGTATGTGACTGGAATAAAGAAGCTTGACTGTTCACCAAGGTCATACAAATTCTTGGAGGACGTGCAATTCATTTTAGTCCAACCAGGCCCAAAAAGTCCCAAATGAATTGGCAGAAGAAACGTTTTTTCAAGCTTGCTATCAGGACAGAAGGATGGTTTTTGATCAGACTTCAAAAAGCACTGACAGATGTTAAGGTACTTACTTGAAAGCTGATCACTGCAATAATTACTGTTGCATAAACTCTAGTTATGTTTATTTTTCAGAAGACAAAATGTGGAGGAGAGGGCTCGAAGAAGGACTCCCCAGCGAGTGTGAGTTCCTCTGTACATCATCCTAACTGTCACTTCCCCATCTCACCTACCTGTGGGTTAGCGGCATCAATTCCTGGGACAGGCCCTTCATCATCCATCATGGGAGGGTAATGTAGAGAATGTAGCATATGCTTGTGTGTGTGTGTGTGTGTGTGTGTGTGTGTGTGTGTGTAAGCTTAAATTTCAAAACTTACATTTAACTACTGATTTTATCTACTGTTCTGATTTTATCTGTTTTGATTTTATATACTGTTTTGTTTGTTTGTTTGCTTTTTAATTAGTTAGTTCGTTTGTTTGCTTGTTTTAATCAATTTTAAATCATGCTTTTTATTTGTTTTTGTTTCTAATGTCTCTGTAAAGCACTTTGAATCACCTTGTTGTTGAATTGTGCTATACATATACTTGCCTTGCCTTGCCTTGCCTTGTGTGACTCCAAGTGGTTTGCTGGTTGTGTACTGGAGTGGAAATAGTAATACATTGTAAAAACATATCATGAATTAAGGATCAGCAGGCTGAAACTGAAAGCTTTATCGCTTAATTGTGCGTTAATCACATGTAGATGTGTGTGTGTGTGTGTGTGTGTAGTGTGTGTGTGTGTGTGTGTGGTGTGTGTGTGTGTGTGTGTGTGTGTGTGTGTGTGTGTGTGTGTGTGTGTGTGTGTGTGTGTGTAGGCATGAACAGACTTCCAGATAAACTCCAGTGTTTCCAACGTGTGTTTGTGCGTCTTTCAGCTGCAACAAGCTTAAGGCCACCCTGTGAGTGCACGGGCCACTAGAACATCAACAGATTTACTTCATACCAATACAGAAGGACAAAAACATTTAGGTACGTTGACAAATGGCGTCATGACCATGAAATGGTGAATGATCACCTGCTCTATAACGCTTCACAGGGAGGAACACATCATATCCATATACACCAATATACACTACAATTAAAAGAAAAAAAAACCTCTAGAACATTTACACAGTAGTACAGACACAAGACGGGGAGCGAGGATAGAGACTGATCCGACACTGACTGACAAAGAGAATGGGGCAGAAACGAAATGAGAAGAGGCAGGGAGAGGAGACAGAGGAGCAACAGACGGCTGGCTATAGGAGAGTTTTAGCTAGAAACAGGTCAGAAATGAAGCTTTAAAAGTCCAAGAAAGCCACACAGGAAGGAGAGATGAAGGGGGGGAGAAGAAGAAAGTCAGCAAGGGAGAGGGTCGCCGGCTGTCAGACAGGTGTTGAAGCCCCAGGTCCCTCCCACCCTCCCTCCCTCTCTGTCCCTCCCCACCCCTCCCTGGCCGAGGGGGAAGTCGACATGGGCGCGAGATGGGGTGGAGACGAAAAGAAACACAGCACACACGGATGGAGGCTGAGCTACTGACCTAGCCTGCAGCCCTTATGGGACACCTGTGGAGGTTTCGAGGGTGCATCTTACGAGGTGGGGGGGTGGGGGAATAGAAGGAAAAACAACAGGCTTTTAAACAGGCAGAATTCATAAATTCTCCAGTGTATCGGTTGTTTATAAGCAAATATATGGCAACACATCAGTGGAAATATATGGATAATCAATTAGAGGACATACAGCATCCGTCTGCCTCCCTGTCTGTCTGTCTGCTTTGTGACTGGCCATGTGGAAGGAGTTACCTACCTGCCCGTTAGTGTTTGGAGGACTGACTGCTTTGGCTGAATGGTTATGTTTTTAATCAAGTAATTTGCTGCAGTTTTGACACTGAGGTTGGATTGTCTGTGGAAGCTGCAAGACTACAGGGTTTTAAAGCTGGCTGTCTGGCTGGCTGGGTGACTGTCTCCATTTTTCTCCCTTTCTGCCTTAAATATTGATGCCTGACTGCCTGTCTGTCTCACTCCTCATCTGTCTGTTGGGACACTGAATGGATCTTACTGTCGCTCATCACAAACCAGAACTATCTGGATAGTGAGGAGGGGGAGGTGACTTGCACTCTTGGCTTGTTATCTGTGCACCAGGACAGAAACATTTCGAATTGTTTAAAAAAAAGAGAGAGATAGAGAGAAGGTTACGTGAATTTACGTGAATTGTAGTAGTACCTGAGTCTTTGTATATCAATACAGCCAGGGCAGCTCTTAATCACTAAAGCTATACCTCCCTTCACTGCAGTAAAGCTCCCTCTCTGCAATAAGCAATAAACATTTACCATTAAAACATTTAATCTGAAAAGAGCCTTGGTGCACTGCAGTGCAACTTATCTCCGCTCCTTACCCCCAACCTGCATTAATATTGAATTTGGGCCATTTTAAAGCAGGTTTCTTCTTTTTCTTCCATATAGCTATTCAAGTTGCAATTGTGTAATTGTGTAATTGGGGGGTCGGGCTGGGGATTATTATGTGTGGGGGGAAATAAAAAAAATCAGAGGCTTAGATTTATTGTAATGCTTTTGAGTCAAATCCCGCTCGAGCTTTGGCTGGGGAAGAATTTTTTGCTCAGGGGTTAATTTATTATTCTGATCAGAGCACTATCACGATGCATAAACTGGTAACGTCACGGCATGTAGATCATCCACCGTGCATTCTGGCCGGTACCGCTCGGTATGTGGGGGAGGGTTGCGGTGGGATAGACAGACAACAAGAAGACCTCATGGAACAGGTGGATTCTTTTTTCTTTCTTTTTCGCACCGCGGAGAAAATCTACCTTCTCCTCCGGTTCAGATTGAAGCCCTTGACTGCAGTATAATGCCTCTGCTGCTTCAAAGAGGGGCGGGGTGGCGCGTGGTGGTGGTGGTGGGGGGAGGTTGGGGGAAACCGCTTCCATACACAGACGTAACACACATCAGTTTAAAGAAAAAAAGCAACAAGAACAAAAAAAATCTACGGCACTGACCTGGTCGCCGCCGAACGGGTCTTTTCTTGCCGCTGCAGAAACGGACTTTGCTGAAGACCCCCAAGAAATGCCTCTCGCAGAGAGAGCGGGGGTCTTTGCTGGGGCTGGGGCGACGTTTCGAAGTCGAGACCCGGTCGCTGTTGGATTCTCTCGCCTGGCGTTTCTGCCGGATCAGGGAGCTGGCGATCGCGGCCATCTCCCCGAACCGAGTCTGAAAACGGAAAGTCTACTTCGGCAGATGTCGGATCTCACTGTAGGTAATTGGCGTGTGGCGGAAATAAAAATAAGAACGTTGATTCTGTCCTTAGGTCCACGAGTTTGTTGGGTTGTTTTTTTTTTTTTAACTAAATGTCATACTGATCACGAAAATCCTTCGAGTCCAGGGCATCATTGCGCTTCGGGCAGCATCCTCTTGTGGGGACAGTAGAGTATATTTAGATATATATCTATAAATATGATCAGCTGCTGCGAGTTTTGCTTCGACACTCGGGCTTTTCAATCAACAGCAACCGATCTTATATAAAATATCTAAGGGTTAGGCCACAAGGGCCCAGATATCAGACATGAAAACATGCAACAGTGTTTCTAAGTTGATGCTGCTGCGTGCCATAGGCGAGAGCGCTTCAGGTATTCCAGGTGAACAGCGCCGCGGCTGACGAGCACGACATCGTTTTCCTCATCCGCACACCAGCCTACCCTCTGGGTTCCTGACGCCTTTCGATAAGCATTAAACCCAAACCCAGGGGCACTGCTCGTGCGTGGAGAAGACTACTAACTTTTTCTTTCCGTAATGATCTTTTTACTCCATGCTCAAAGAGAAGTCCGCTGCCGGTCCAGGATGCGGTGTAGGAGCCCGTGTATGTGAACCAGTCTCCGGTTCCGTCGATGGCACCGCTTAAATGCAGTCGGGGAAAAAATGGAATCGGCGAGCAGAGGCTACTCTGCAAGGATGCTGCAGAGATGTAATTTAAGCCTGCAGGCAGTGATTCCCGTCTGAAAAGCAACAATTAGTTGAGGCGAACACACGCCGGAGTGCTTTTCATTGTAGCGCACAAATAATAAAGTGACCTAAGCATTATTTCCAGCGAGTCCCGAATGAATACTGTGTGTGTATGTGCGAGTGAATGGTGGCGGTCCACAGCTTCTCTCTCTCTCTCCCTGCCTCCCTCTCTCCCTCCCTCTCTCTCGATCTCCCTCTCTGTCTCTCTCACCCCTTGTCTCCCTCTCCAACTCTTTTAACGCAATCATACGTGATTGAGGTTAGTATTAGTAATTCCCAGGAGTTGCACGGGACAAATGAATGATCCCAATCTCGAAAATTTGCGAATATTGGAATTTGTATTGCAAAATGTAAACTTAAAAGGGGGGAGGGGCTGTGTGTTTTTTCTTCTTCTTCCCTTTGAGAAATGGATGCGCGTGCACGTGCGTCCTTTTGGATTATGTGCGCGTTCAAACTGGGGCGACTCATCTCACAACTGTCTCTTTTAATTACACTTCAAATCCGAAGTTGCAAAGCAGTTTGAAAATGCGAGATGGCTGCATGAAACTGCAAACTGCATACAAAGTTGATTCTTAATCAGCTTTGGCTTATACTACACGGCATTCTTGCCCTCACAGCTTATAGGCCTATCAAAGAGATAGGAGCACACATTTTATTTTGTAAAGAAAACAGTGGCCACGCAAAGAGCATGTTAAGTCTGGCTTAAAGGATCAACCGCAACAGGGTCCAACACGCAGAGTATGAGCGGGAAACACACACATTCAGGCAAAACTCAAGATCCACACAGTGACACAACAGATGGATTCATGTGATGGAAGTGAAAGTACAGCCCCAATGAACACAAATGACAACAATCAACAAATAACACTGTGACACTAAAGCTTTGAACTGCCTTCAAACACATCTTGGCCCCTCAGTTCGTGTGAAAGCATCGTGAGAGCACCCTGTAGGCCTATTCTGTGTTTCCATCTGACTAGGAACAATTGCAAACCAATTGATTGCTTCTCTGCGGCTGTCTTCAGCACAATTAAGAGGACGAGGATCACTGTAGCAGTAAAGGTAAATCAATGTAAAAGGCACCAGCCAGAATAACCTGCAGGCATGATGGACATCATGTTTATGTGCCTCTGGTTTCATTCCTTTTGTTGCATGGCTAAGGAGAACACACACAGCACAGCACAGATGCATTCTGTGTTAGGAAAAACACACGTGTCTTTAGCAGCATCCCTGTGATGAAAGGGCATGAAACATTTAGAGGCTTTTTCTAGGACTTGGTTTGACATTCTCTCACCAAACTGAATCTGTAGAGACAGCAAGACGAGGAAAGAGGAGAGACCGAACGAAAGACGGAGAGAGATTTTCTTTTGCCGGCTATTGTCTGTCCCTTTTATGTAAGATTTGGATAAAATGGATGAAGGAATGTGAATGTGAAGTGCTGATACCCGCGTCAGTCATTTGCATTTTTCTAAAGTATCTGCGAGAGAGAGAGAGAAAAGACTGATAGAGAGAGAAAGGGAGATGGAGGGCAGATAAAATCTTACATACTAAGATAGGCAAGGAAAGAAAGTTAGGAACCGAGGCTTGGATTCAATCAGATTCTAAATCAAAAACCTTTTGTATTCCTATTGAGTTGCCAGTGAGTGATAGATATTAATTTGACACTGCAGTATAAAGAAAAATTTATAATAGTCTCAATACAACATTCATCACTTTGGATGTGATATACTGCACACTTCTAAGAAAGAAAAAACAGAGCTTGTGGTTCCGAGTACAAAGTGAGTTTTCTCAGAAATGGGAGGGAGCTCGTGCGCACCACAGACATGGACATACATCTTTGTCGGGGAAAGATAAAGTATTCCCTAATGAGGATCTGTTTGGCTTCCTCCTTCTACCAGAGACAATTAATGTTCCCTTCACTCCAGAAACGATACATCCAAAATCAGTGAAACACTGCTGTTATGAAACACACTGCAGATAGTACAGAGTAATAATTTAAATTGACATTTCAAGTGATTTTGACTCTGAAGATTGGCTGTCATGGTTACAGAGACTGTGTGAGTTTGTTATTATTGTCAAATGTTCTTCTTTTTTTTCTTGGTTAAATAATATGAACATTAAGGGCAAAAAGTATGCTGAGGATGCATTTGGAGCATTTATCTTTTAAAAAGATGTTTTATGTGAGACTTTCTCATTAAATGTACAAATGTAACTGTGATGAATCAATTCAGTGAACAGAAGTAAACCACAGCCAGAGTCTCTGTGGCCTTGCCAGAGGTGCAGCTTGTTCAGAGAAACATTTTTTTGTATATCTGCTGCCCCCTTGTGGAGAATAAATGAACCACAACCACTTTGGAGAGAAACTACTTTCACTGTTTCCTATCTCTGAAGTTTGTCACTTCTCTGTGTCCTTGAGATACCTCACAGATCTGTTGACTCACAATAGCTAGAACTGGTTGTCATAGCGTAATGTCTGCTAAACGCTCATGCCAGCTCCTCGAGAAGCGCAGAGTAGAAACGTGAGAGAATATGAGACATTCTGTGACTCAAAATGCTGCTTAAAAACTTCTACTACATAAACAACATGAATCAACATGAAAAGGAGATAAAAGCCCGAGTCGTACGGCTGAACAAAACAATCAGATTCTAATTTTAATCACATCTAGTGCAGCAAAATATGAGACAAAGTCTAGATTCCTGCATCTCGCTCCGATAAATCGAGTCATGTCTGTATGTGTGATGTGCGTTTGTCTGCGTGTGTGGGTGTTCACATTTCTAGTCAAGTCATCATCCAGTTGACTGCAAACATGGTGTGTATATTGCTGGGGAGGAAAGGAAATGCAGCACTAAGTTTAAGAGGGTTTCCTGTTTCTAAGCTGTTGGTCAGCAGAGCCTGTTGCACATGGAGCTAGGCATTACAGTAAAATGATGGTGTTAAGCTAACACACAGAGTCAGGCAACCACTCACATTCACGCATATGTCCAATTTAGAACCTCCAGTTCATCAACAAGCATGTATTTGGACTGTTTAGGAGGCGAGAGAGAATCCACAAAGGCACATGGGCAACCATGCAAAGTCAACACAAAAAAACACAGCAGTGGATTCAAACCTAGAATGTTTTTCATTGTATTTATTTAGTGTTTTTGATTGATTTGCAATTTTGTTGTGCAACACTGTGCCGAAGATTAAAATTAATCTTGAATCTTTTAATAAACTTTCCACTGACCGTGACGTCTGCCTTGGAAACTAATACACGAAGGAATCTCTGTATGTGTGTGTGTGTGTCAGCTCTTTATCCAATCGTGTTCTTGTACGTCCTCTACCATTACTGCTGCATTCAGGAGGTCACAATCCTCTGTGACCTTAGCAGTTCAAGTTCAAATTATATATATACATCGGCATTTGCTATGAGTGTTAAACCTAATGTTACAAAACATTATATACTGACATTAGAAAAAGAACTTTAACCTAAACCTGATGTTATATTCATCAGTTACTGAAAACTGACCAAGTGGCAAATATAAAGTGCTGCTGGGTCTGTTAGCGTTGCTAGTATGACACCCACCACACAGTATCCTGTACCTGCCACACATTAACCACAATACTGGGGCTCTAGGTGCTCCTGACATCTGGCGTCCTTCTACTGTGCCGTGGAACCCTTACTGATATATTTTACCCACTGCTCCTATTTCAATATATCGGCTGCTGCGACATTATTGTGTGACATTATAAACCGTTCATATTTAATGCAGTAGTTTGCAGTAGTTTACAACACCCGAGTGTGTTTGTTTTGTTCACATCATAGCCCTAAGCAGCACACTTCCAAGACTGGAGACAAAGAGGGAAAACTTTAACACCACAAAAGCCAGGTGCAAATCTGATACTACAAAGGAAAGCAGGTGCAAACATTTAAGCCTGCTCACACACACATAGTTCACCAGAAGTCCCTACGGGGTGAATTTTGCGCCTAAAAAATGAAGCGTATAACACTTCACTTCCTGCTCCTTGTTGCTTCCATGATCTTGTACTGTTCAGACTGTAGGAGAGAATGATGCAATGAGATTGCCATGTAAAATGCAGACTTTGGCAACTTTGTATAGAAAGTTAAATCAATTAAATGGCTTTGTTTCACTTTCTATGGACAATGTTTTTGAGTTATTCTGAAGTTATCAGAGAGAAAAATGGGGAAAAAATGCTGCCAGCATGGCAGCATCACTCAAAACTCATACTTCCCTTATATTTTAGCTGTAATTGGAAATGAAACTGTCTGAGCCATTCCACCATAATAATATAAATACAGAAAATCAAACATTAACCTTCAAAATGATTGAAAAAGTCCAAAGTTTAAACCAACTATTTATCTGAAGCAATTTGATCTTATAACGATCCTTAACTCAATCCACACAGTCATGCTTCGCAGCACATGGGTGTCATTTCAACACCCATGTGCTGACTCATAAAGTTTTGATTGAGGTCAAAGGGTTCATCTAACAGTGAGCACAGATGCAGAATAAGGACTGATAGTGCTTCATATCCGAGTCCTACAGATCCCAGGGTGCATGCTGCTTTTGGTCCAACTACCTCAGAGGAATCAACTGTGCTTAATGGAGTTTCTAATTGTCTGCCCTGAATTTCCAAACTGCTCCAGCTGAGAGCCTACGTATTGCAAGTGACAAGAGGAGGTGTTGCATTTGTTTCCCAGTAACAAAAAAAAACTTCTGGTTTGCACTGGCAATAGTGGGGAATTCTCCACGCCTATGGAGACAGTAGAACTGTGTTATGAATGAACAACAGCAGCATTGCAGTGAATTGCCTGAGACATGACTAGAGGACATGGCAGGGATCTTAGGCTTGTTGCCAAAGACTGATAAGTGGTGGCTGTGTGTGTGCTTATGCATGTCATTGCAGTTTTGTATCCTCAAGTGGTCTTTTTTATATATACAAATTCTAAGCTGCATAGGTTTCGTTAAAAAAAAAAGCTGTATACATATCTATTAAAGTAGTTAAAGCTACAGTGGTACTTTTGGGGACTTTCAGAGGGGTCTTCGAATTTAATTTAATTAGGCCTAACCTCATACCAAAAAACATGTACCAGTGAAGCGCAGAGGGAGTTGAGTAGTTTTAAACTGAGTTTGTACTGTATCTAATTGTACAAAATGCAATCAACCAACCAACCAACCAATCAATCAATGTGGCTTGGCATATACAAAAAAAAGAAAGAAAAAAAACTCTGACTGGAACAGGAGCCTTTCTGTTGTGGCGCTATCCGTGGTGCTGGTCGTTTGGGGCCCTGAAGGAGCGCTGCTTCTCCAGGCCCCTGAACTTTAATGACTTGATCCCTGCATTATCCATTTTTGGCCCGCTTCAGTTGCACCACTAGAAACAAATATAGCACGGGCTTGTACAGTATCAGGAGCCCTCTCCTCTCCAGAGTAGTGCGACTTACAGCTGACTGCCAGCAGCTATCCGCGACGGCCGAAGACTGCACAGAAAACTCAGGACAGACGCGAGGAGCACAAGGAGAGCCTCCCTCCACTGCAGACTCGGAAGATGTTACTCACACACACTCTGGTGTTTAATAAAACCACTCATCCCCTCCTCCCCTTCTCTATAAATCCCCCCTTTCCTTTCTCTTTCCCCTTTTCTTTTATCACTCAAGAGAGAAAGCATGCAAAGCAAAGACAGCTATAATGCTATGTCTCTCACCGTTGGTGATTGTGGTCGACTTCGATCGTTGTCCACAGAAACACTGCAGCATATGCGCTCCTTTCTGAAGGAATGGCCTCAGAATCCTCATTGATTTGGGTTGATGGGAGCCTTCCTCAATCCAAACAATCGGACAACGCTATCACAACACAGCAGGGTCAGGCAGCATAGCGTAGCCAGCCAGCCAGCCTTTCTCTACTGGCTCTCACAGCAGCCCCTCAAAACGCCGGAAGGGCACAGTCTGCAGGACAAATTACGCTAAAACGAGGCATCTTGAGTGATTCCCCCCTCTCTCGCTCTCTCTAACCCTCTAACTCTCTCTGTCTTTCCTCTTCTTGTCCACCGACGGTCATTCGCGTTCACGGCACACTCCTCTTCCGCCACAGCAGGCAACGCAAGGACGTTACAATGTGCTCTTAATTGTACACCCCCCCTCCTCCTCCTGCCTCCGCGTCTTTACCAGCAGCGGACGTAATAGCAGAAAAGGAGATGGGAAGGGGGAGCGAGAGTGAAGATTGAAAGAGAGAAAGAGAGAGAGCGCGCAAGCCAAAGTTAAACTGCAGGGGTAAGTGGCAGGCCACGAGTGAGGTAATGCGGAGCTGACAGCTAAAAAGCGACAAAGGCTGCACGATCCGAAGCTTTGGCCACACAGATGTTGGACTCCGAGAGCCAGTAGTTTTCCTCTTTCTTTTTTTACCCCCTTCTACGTTTTCACAAATCACCGGGAAGAAGCGGACAACGTCAGCTGCAGGCCATCGCTTTGAAGTCAATGATGTTTTGCGATGCGTGAGAGTAGCAGAAAGTTTATGGCTCAGTCACTGCGTTATGAAAGAGCGAGTAACGGTGAATGACTGGTTCGTATATAGCGCTTTTCTACTCTTCTGAGCACTCAAAGCGCATTCACACCCATTAGCACAAGCACATTTTTCTAAGTGCTTTCTAGCTAACATTCACACACATTCATACATCGGAGAGCAATTTGGGGTTAGTATCTTGCTAGGGAAGCCGGGAATCAAACCACCAACCTTGCGATCAGTAGATGACCTGCCTGAGCTACAGCCACCCCAACAATGACCGCCGAACTGTCCTTCCAAGTGCGGCAGCAGTGCGTTTGTTATTTCGCTAAATTCCATATATGGATTTAATATAGATCAGCATATACGCTTTAAGCTGATCATGACTTTGTGAAAAGTGTAAATTTTTCTCCTGAATGCAACAGGAACAGTGTGCAGAAACAACGAGAGCAAGAACAATAGAAGTAACCGGTTCGGTTTCGCTACAGCACTTTGCGTGGAAGACCTCGGAGTCCCACTGCGTCTTTTGTTAATGCGTGAAAGTGAAAAGTCAGCTGCTAAATCAGGGAAAGTCAATTCCAGGATGAGGATTTGCTGGAACATCACAGTGTGGCGTAAATGCGGTCCCGAACTGAATTAGGTACTTGCAATACTGGACAGTGGAGTTGTGACTCTATAAAAAGCCTTTACATATATTTTATATGACAATATATCTCCAGATGACACTCACCGTGTGCACTTCAAGCTCTAATGACCTTAAAATGTGTTTTCAGTTATGACTCACTATCCAAACGAGAAGGTTCACGATCTCATTACGCATTTTGACCCATGATGACTAGAGCGCTATGTGCCATTTTCAACACCAGGTGGTGCCATAGCATAAACCATTAAAATTAAAGCGAGCATATCCAAGTAGAAGAGAGTTGCCTATAGATACTCAAATTGCTAAAACATTAACACTAGATTTGCACAAGACAAAACAAATTAAAGAGGATGCTGGGTTTTATTTTATTTTTCCAAGTCACCAGTAAGCCAAACAAACACTATGCCAATCTCTGCCGTCTCATTCAGCACACTGCTAAAAAGTACTTTACAGTATGTACTGCAACATTTTACTATATTTCAAAACCTAATTCTTGTGCTCATGTGACATTGCACCACAAGGACAATGAGATATATGATTACAGCTACCATGGGAACATTCCCTCGCTATGTAAAATCTACACAATGAACATAACAGGACATTATAGGTCAGCAAAATGCCTCTACAACAGCATCCACATGCAAATAAGGAAAGGTCAGAGAGGAATAAAGAGAGAATGGGTAGAGGGTGCAGGGAGCTGGCATCAGACCCAGAGTTACAGACTTGGTGATGGTGCTGTACTGTACACTCAGCTTTCACTATACTGTACCACTGCAGAGTCAATCGCTAGTTGCTAAAGAGCCAAAGAAGGTATGAGGGGAGGAATAGAGATGAAACGGGGCTATAGCGCAGAAGGAACGTGAAGTGACAAAAACGCACTGTAGTTGAGGCAACACTTTAGCATCCAAACAAAATCTATTATTAATTATGCTAATTAAAAATGTAGTTTTAATTTTAATGTGTTTGTCCCAGGGACAAAATTGTGGAACATTTTCATTTATTAGCATCAATTTTATTTAAAAATGGACAAAACAATCACAATGACAGTCACTTAATGATGGGAGGACTTAGTGTGCCTGATTATTACTCACAAAGTAAATAAGCACTGATCTATTCCATTTCGTTAATATGACACAAGAGTTATAGCACCATGCTTCTGACATGGCATGAGATTTGTATGATAAGCTCTCATAAATATCTCATAAATGCTATGGTTTTATGGAATTCTGATATGTTTATTTACAGTCAGTTCCCTGCTATGGCTATGCTTAGTTGGTTATCATTCCATTCATTTATTGGCATTAATGTAAATATGTTCAAAGTTTTTGATACTTCACACCCTGAAATTTGCTCTGTCAGTTTTGATGTTTGCTTTACTTGTTTAAATCTCCTGATCATCAACCTGACAGCAGTAAAACTGTCATTATCATAAGACCTGCTGTTTACAGACCTTTCAGTTTAATTTTAAAGCTTCAAAAAGAGAAAATGTGTACATTGTTTACATTTCACTTGTTCCCAATCCAACCCAGGCACTGACTGGAGAGCTCAAAGATAGAGTCGAGCCTTACAAACTTAAAGAATCCACATAAACTGGATTGTCCTACAACACATGTTGAAGTGTTTGCTTTAGTAGGATTCTTATAAAACAACAGAGCTTGTTTCTCCTCGTTTCTCCCCTAAAAAGCCCAGGAGATGTGCAAAAAAAGTGTCCTGGTTGAAGAAAACATGGAGGCAAAAAAAAAGTTAAATAATCAAACTGAAAGAGATGGCAAGCTGATGGCAAGGAAAGAAACAAACAGCACAGACACTGGTCACTAAACAAAAGCATAAGTTAAAAAGTGTAAACTACCAAAAACATGCTCCTCTCCAGAACATAGGAGTAAATATCCAGAACACACACAGCTCACACGTGGCAAACCAAAGAGGATCTCTGACACTGCTGCGCTCCTCACTCTGGCCTTAAGTACATGGGGCTAATTGCTGAGTAGAAACAGCTGTGCAGAAGGGCAGTACCTATGGCAGGACAGGTGGTAGGACACACCCATGGAGGCAGACATCACAGCACGTCCAGCTGTGGCCATAACACTCCTTCCCTGAAACCACTGGATAAAGTCTTCCACCGAACCACTCAACAAATTTCTGCAGATATCACTGCAGTGGTGAAAATGAGCACAAGAATGCATCTGTGTGTGTTACTTCATAAGTTTTTGAGATATTTAGCATCTTAGTTGGGTTTAGCTTAGTAATAACCAAATCACATGGGCTTTACAGCTTTAGATCATCTTTATTTCTATTAAAAAACATGAATCCTTTAATAAAGACAGGGCCTAGCATTGAATGACCATTGATTATAACAGAACAAAGACATTAAAAAATAAATTAGTAAATACATTAACCAAAGGCTTAAACCCCTTTACATCTGAATATGAGCAAGAGGTGTCTATATTACATTTAAGTACAGAGTTTAGTGCAACAAATAAATCCCTGTTTAAAATTACTGCAAGGATGACTCAGTTGTTTATAAGTGTTTGCAGCAAAGCTGCCCACAGCGGGGCATGATGGATGATGGATGAGAAAAACATTTCAAAACATATGAAAAAGCCACT